GACAGGTAGATACACAAATAAGCCAAGACATCACAGGTTATGGATCGTGTGTGATAAAGCATATATAGAAAACAAGTATCATTTCCTTTTAGTGTGTACTGCATACAGTTCCTTGCGCATTAGATATATTCCTGCCAAGTATTATACATAACCTTCTTTGTCAAATTTCAATATATTGATGATCTCAAACAATCCTTTTGTCAGCAGAAATATAGCAATGTTTATTTATTATGCTACAAAGCACCACCAATGAAATATGGCTGCAAATATGTAATATTTGTATTATGGGCCGATCGCCTGCATACACTCTGCGAATAAATAAATAGATTCCGAAGTGTCGTATACAGAAGACTTGACATGTTAATCTGATCAAAATCCGTTAATATGTCACCTGTCAGTTGGTTATATTTTCATGCACACACTTGCAGCTCACTACATATATATCCGACATTAATGGGTGCAACAAGGACTGGTCGGCTCGGAATCAGTATAATGTGTCATGCTTCACTGCGGCACGGTATCTCAGTGGGCTAGCACTATAAAAACAGCTTCAGTCTGGGCTAGTACAAGCAGCCGCACATACACATACACACGCATGCACGTCGTCATATGAGTGAAATATTCTCAAGCACGACGATAAACCCAATTTCACCTCACATATATATCCATTTCAAAGCCAATACATCACCAGCCACTTGGAACAACACGAACGGTTACTGGCGGTCGGTTTTCCGAAGCGGACGTACAATATCCACACATTTGTCTGCTGTTAACGTCATTAAAATATGAATAACAGAAAATGAAATGTAAAATGTACAGAAAGCCTAAACTCTAAAACTATTTCCAACGCATTTTGTCTTTTGGTAGTCTTTTTATTTTGTCTATAATGTGACTAACATGTTCGTGACTCATTTGATTTTTCGGCGCTTTTTGGTAATGTTAAAGATGTTCTACTGGTTCCAGTTGCAAGACGTTTAATAGTTGGAATGAGAATGTGTGATACTTGGAAAATTGTAAACATTTGTGATATTTTGATTAGTGACCTACAATGTATGCACAGATCATCATCTCAGTGGGGTTATATATATTTTATGAAAACAAATTGCAAGTGTAACATATGTTATATTTGGGACTGGGTTACACTTTGTTAGTAAAGTACAGATTCTAGCTAGTACTTTGGTTGGGTTGAGTCCCTCCGGGATTCGAACGCACACCTTTAGAGTCAGGCTCCCAATCGCTAGCACAAAGAGTAAGGTGCCTTACCTTAGAAAGTGGAACCCCAAATATAACATATGTTACACTTGCAATTCTAATTGTGTATTCAAATTGCAAGTGATTACCTGGCATTTGATTGACTTTAACCTACAAACAAATTACGCCGCGCCCACTTACCACCTAGTCTTTCCTAATTGGCTGACATGAGAATGAGAATGATATAATTCGAATTGTTTTTTGCAGTGATTTGTTTTGTTCGTTTGCTTTTTGTTACACGCCGCATTCAGCAATATTCCAGCTATATGGCGGCGGTCGGTAAATAATTGAGTCTGGGCCAGACAATCCAGTGATCAACTGTTATGTTATAACATCAGGAGCATCGATCTTTGCAATAGCGATACGATGACATGACTCAACCAAGTCAGCGAGCCTGACCACCCGACCCCGTTAGTGGCCTCTTACAAGCATGGGCTACTGATACGGGGATTTCCAATACGTCATCTAAGAATATTCTTGGCATAAATTTGTATCCCATAATCCCATGCGTTTCTCACTAAGAAAATTCTAAGAATTTAAAAATATCTCAGCTAAGATTTATGCTTAGTGGCTTGGTCGATTGCTACTTAAGATAATTTCTCAGCTAAGAATTCTTAAGGAAACTTAAGCATAAATCTAAGAAAATTCTAAGAAGTTTAGTGAATCCGGCCCCTGGTTACACAAATTAGTCGTTACCGGCGCTGTGTTTACAGATCGCTGTCCTTCCGGCTGATTAGGTCAACGGAGTTCAGTAATGGCAATATTCTGAGTTCATCAGTTTAGAGTTGTTTTATGACATCTTCCCCAGGCAAGGGATTAAGTGAGTATAAAAGTACTCTTTATAGTCAGCCCTACCACCCATGCCTCGGGACGCTGCTTCGTGAAGAAACCCATTGTCATTCACCGAACACTTTTTTCCCCTAAAGCAAATTTCATTGGGATAACAATTAACGCCGACTTTGATCAAGGTTCAAAGACGACTGAGTATATCTGTATATCTGCCCTCGAGGGATTTAGGTTTCCGACAGGTAAGAGGAGACTGAATGAGTGGGTGAATTTAGCTTTTCGCTGCTTTTAGCAATAATCCAGTTTTCATGGCGGGGGGACACCAGACATGGGGAACCGAACCCGGGTCTCCAGAGTGACGAGCGAACGCTTTAATGTCTAGGCTACCCCCGCAACCCCAAGAGGGGATTGAAGGGGTCACGTGGTGAACCTCACTTGTTATTTTATAGGGTCATCATACTCTATAAAATATATCACTGGGTTGTCTGCCGCATTTCTATAGCAACATTATATAACACTCTGAAGATTCCTTTTCAACTGGTTTATTGCACGTTATCATATCCCAGTTGCATGGAATTGTGTTCACTTTTAAAACATTGGATTGGTTCAGGCCTGATTATATAGGGAATGCCGTCATAATAGCTGAAATCTTGCTGGCTGTAAGTGAAGAACTACATTTGTATGAATCAATATGTACTACTCACAATATGTTAAAGAGTGAGTGAGTGAGTGAGTCTAGTTTTACCCCGCACTCAGTTATATTCCAGCTATATGGCGGTGGTCTGTAAATAATCGAGTCTGGACCAGATAATCCAATGATCAACAGATGTTAAAGATTGGTTCTATTTATATGATGAGTGTTAATATATCACGGAGCCAGTTAACAAGTGTACAACCTTGACCTTTAGACATGGAGTATGTAAAAACCTCTTCAAGGTCAAGTGGACAATGTTGGCCTTGACACAGGGATAGTTATGACAATGCTACAATGTCCATCAAAACGATCAAAATCAACCTTTTTCTTGTCTCCGTCTGGTGTCCGTCACAATGGAATCGAGGACATAAGCCCAAGGCCATCTTTACCCCACAGGATTTTAATTCATGGACAGTATTGTTCAGTTTCCGACCCATGAGATCGGGGTTGGAATTCATCTTCAGTAACCCATGCTTGTAAGAGGCGACTAACGGGATCGGGTGGTCAGGCCCGCTGACTGGGTTGACACATGTCATCGTATCCCAACTGGGTAGATCCATGCTCATGCTGTTGATCATTGGACTGTCTGGTCCAGAATCGTTTAGTTACAGACCGCCTCCATATAGCTGGAATATTGCTGAGTGCGGCATAAAACTAAACTCACTCACTTTCCAATTATAATTTCATACCCTGACCAGCTACCTTGAGTGGCACATGTGGTGTAGCCACTTATGCAAAATAGTAATGTAGCAGAGGATTAAACAGGTACAAATAAATCCACATTATTTACCTGTGAAAAACATATTAAATAACAAAAAGTAGTTTCAATTGTTCACACTGTAGAGCCCAATTTGTGAATTCCATGTCAAACTTCGAATCAGCAAAGACTGGACAAGCAAACAGCTTCAGGTCATCTGTAGTGCACATGCTGCATGAAATTCTGCTGGCTAACAAAACATGTACCCTCTGCCTGGCGCAGGTCAGTTGAAACTACTATGTCCTCAATCTATAACACTGGAGGAATGCAAAACATATCCTTGATTGCCACAAGTTGACCTTTGTACTGACAAACACAATGTTTGAACTGTTTGTCAAAGTTTTGAATCTACATCATTCCCCAGCCTAGTGCAGGAAATCCAGATCCTATACTTGGGTCATTCCGTTGCGTCCCAGAGGGCAAACTGAATGCCTCTATATAGCTACTGTGGCCATGAAGAATCAAACCTGTCTCCAGCAAGACAAGGTCATCCAATAAAAAAACAAACAAATTCTATGTTTAATATGTCATTTTATGCAAAATATATAAATGTTACATTTAATTTAAACAGACAATGTGCTCATAATCAAACCTGAGTATGAAGATATTAAGTTTGGCTGTGTACAGGATGCTAGAGTCTACAGGGGCACCTGTCACCTGGTCACAAACACCCACCACAGACACCAGGACCTCAGTTATCCACAAACCTCTCTATTCCAAACTCCATGATCCAATGTAAAGAAGTACACACGTTAATATTTGATAAAGATTAAAAATAAAGACAAAAGCACAATTAAACTTATTCATCTTAAATCACTGATAATTAACAGCCTAACATAGATGCAAAATATTTTTCTTATACCAGAAAGAAAGTCTCATTTCAGTCTATGTAAAGTAGCTGGTGCCTTGCTGAGGGTGTTTATGACCAGGTGATGGCGACAGAAGGGGCACAGAAAGAGAGATGTCAACTCGCATAGAACAGTTAGTATGGTTTAACACTACTCCAACAACACTGCTTCAGCAAGCCTCCAGCAGTGCCACACTAAGACACAGGTAATGGGGGAACACCCATGCTGTTCAGCTTTGGGAGAATGAACCACTGCCCCCTTAACTGTAACACAACTATGTACATCGCCTGCCTATGTTGGTGTTGAATACACAAAGTCAACAAGCTTCTTAGTCCAGAACATAGTAAATTAAAGTAATATTGCTTTAAAAAGTAACAAACAAGTACTGGGCTCCGTTTCACAAACAATCATAGCGCTGACTGTCGTATCTCCTATACTGTAACATAGACTTACAACAGTCCTAGCGCTACGACTGTCGTATCTCCTATACTGTAACATAGACTTGTGACAGTCGTAGCGCTACGACTATCGTAACTCCTATACTGTAACATAGACTTACAACAGTCCTAGCGCTACGATAGTTTTGTGAAACAGGGCCCCAATTTACACAAAAGGTCTGTTTTATTAAAACACTACTGTATCAAATTAAAACATAATCATATACTTCTTGATACTTAGTATTTATTAAGGATATTCAAAACTGATTTTCATCAGGTCAATAGATCTAACAATACTAATCATCCTATCAATGTTAAGTAGTATATTATGGTTATAATTTAGATTAATGGAAGGTAGTTTTCTTCTGTGCATTCAACGCCAACTTTGAAGAAGCATTTTCAGAGATAATGTGGAACCACACTCAGGAACACTCGGCTCGGGACAGGAACCAGCTAATGTCTCTTTAAGAGTACAGTCCATACTTCTTAAAGTATTTTAAATGCCACGGGAACAAGATAAAATCTGGAGTTAGATACACAATAAGATTAACATAGGATCCGATCAATACCCACTCCCATAGTCTATTGGATGTGTTTCTAGGTTAACTTGCATTTTCCTCCCAATTTAAATATCTTACAAACAAAATGCAACCTTCAGAAATATGCAGTTCAACTTCTGGATTGTCAGCAACATTCAACAAGGAATCTACAGCAAACCAAGAGGTAGGCACCTTTAATGTTAAGAGGATACTTGTATCATCTATTATTCCTACCAGTGCAGGAGTTGACAGGAAGGAAGGAAGGAAGGAGGTGAAACTACTTTTGATAATAAGCTCGTGTATATAATTATGACAAAGCAGAGTTTTAGAAAAGACGGTTTCACACCAAGTCTCCACTATTTTGACAAAACGACTTCGTAGCAATATTGTTGGAGTCACATGTAAAATGTATGACAGGAGCCTTTCAATATAATTTACAACATGAATTCTTATGAGTTTGGAAAATGTTGGAATCAGGTCAAGTAAAACTAATTTGTTGCAAAAAATGATCAAATAAATTGTACACAAATTAAAATAAAGAAATAATATCACTGAATGTTTTCATGATCAATTTGAAAAGTAAAAACTTTATATGGCACGATTTTCAAATCAAAATGGAGTTTTGAAAAATAAAATATTTCGGCCATATGATAAATTTCAAATTATTTAAGTTAACTCATGTCTCAATTCCACATGTCACTCAAACAATAACATGTTTCAAGAGTTTGTGTCAAATTGCAGTTAATTCTTGATAAACGTATGACAGAAGCACATATAAACTTAATTTGTCTTTCAAGCAAGGAGTAAATATTCTTACTGAAACAATTCAATTGACTTAGCACCAAACCAAACTTACATACAATACGAATTTTTTGACAAATACCTTTGTTAGAGTGAGAGTTGACATCCATCAAGAACTAACTGCAAAATGAACACAATTCTTAAAGCTAGGAGAAAAACTTCAAAACAGAGTATTATCAACAAGTCAACGCGGCTTTTTGTAAAACTTGCTACATTCTAGACAGAGCACCCACCAGCTCTCCCAAACATGGGAGGGCATATGGAACAGACAGTGTCTTGCACAATTTCCACTGAACAAAACAGTTCGTCACAAGCTTCTCACTATACTGGCCTTGTGCTAGAGAAATGCAGCTTTTTACTTACTTTAAGCCCCTGGTGCGGGGATTTGTTCCACTAAATTTCAAAATATTTTCTGGTAAAAAATAACGATAAAAAAACCTCTGGACATTTTAACCCATTTTGCTACAACTTATTAATTTCCACAAAATATGACGTAAATGTAACCCAAATATGCTGGGGCAAAAGGTCTGCTTTTGGCACAAGTTAAAAATGCAGCATTGATGAACTCCATGTACACCTTGCACACAGTGCATACAGGTCCACAAAGGTGAGTTCACAACCAAAATCCCTAAGTTTGTTCCCAGAAAACCTCATTTTCTATTACCAATGCTATTAATTCTATACAATATTTGTCCAAATTTTATTAACACATATGTAAAAGAATTTGAAGGCACTGAGATAAGTTACTCCAGCCAAAATTTGGACACTGGTACCCAGTGGATGGAAACTAATATTTGCGTTGTTTCCTCAAATTCTCTAAGCTTGTCAGGATGGTAATTGTGCAAGACTCATCTGTGAAAGAAACAGTACAGGTTGTTAAGATTGATCAATGACGTGAATGTACATGAAGGGGTGCAGATGGGTACTCAAGAACATCGTCGCGTAATTCTTACAAAAATAACCATAACTGGTGTCCAGTTTTGTTTAGCAAAACAATTATTTCAGTTTTCTTCTTGGATATAAGTGACAAAAGGAGCGAGATGACTCCCATGTGGGTCCTCGTGAGTATATGACTGCTGTGACAAACAACTCTATACTTACATATCTACGTGTTGTAGATTCACCGCAAGTCCATGACGGCCGCACGGCGTTATCAGAGTGGTTGTCATCATCGTGTTTCACGACAAACGTCCCCACCCTTCCCGATGAGTTATCATATAAAATACGCTATCAAATATCATATGGCGTGTTATGTATAACATGGTTAATATTGACACAAGTGGGCGATACCATAATGTTGAGTATGACGGATGATTCTATGAAAATGTATACAATATTCAATATCATGATGGCGATAGATACTCTATACACACAATGACTATAGACAGACGATGGATGATGATGATGATGATGGTGATACTAATACAATGTGGATATGCTCTATGAGAAATAAATATGATCACAGGCAGGAGTAACCAAATATTCCTGTTTCTACAATAGACTATATACAGTTAGACTTTGGCATGCATGTATTGTCTCACTAAGTAGATCCTTTTTATTTACATATCGTACAAAAATCTAATAACCATGTTAAACAGACGAGACCAAGCCTCGTCATGTAGATCTTCCGTTAATGAGTTTTCTGGAATAAAATCAACGAACACAATGTTCCTATTGCATGGTTTGTGCAGCACAAACACCACACGTTCAAGCATACGATTGTTATATATCTACAAAATATGTAACATACACATTTTGTACTATTCCATATATACTGTTCACCATTTCATAGGGATATTTCAAATGTCAAGGTAGAGGCTAAATCTGACTTTTTTTGTGTTTGGAGATGATGTACAAATTGGATGCAATTTGATAGAGTGTAGGCTTACGCCACTTTTAGCAATATCCCAGCAATATCATGGAGGAGGACACCAGAAATGGGCTTCACACATTGTACCAATGTGGGGAAGCGAACCCGGATCTTCGGCGTGATGAGCGAACACTTAAATTACTAAGCTACCACCGCCCCTCAATGCAATTTGAACTGGATCTAACACGTTTAGATTCGTTTCATAATATCCAATGTATAAACTGAATTGTTGTCTCCCGGCTTGAAACAAAACTCAAAAATATGTTGGTTCCATGCCATAATGACATCCTACTTGCATGTGAAGATCTCCATACACCTGGTCAGACTTCTCCCCTCCCTGGACACTCAGCATCCCTACCAAAAGTTGAGTAGGATAACATATTAAGAGTCACTGTTGCTGTACAGATACTGCCAGCAAGCTTTCACGTCACTGGTAAAACGTAAAAACTGCGATATCACAAGTTTCACATGCACATATATTGTCATCACCAAATATGGACGCAGATTTCAGTATTGCCATAGTAACACCAGCATTCATATTCACAGTGTTGAATCAACATTCTCAAAAACACCTTTGACAAAGAACCCTTACAACTCAACCCAGGAACAGAAAGTTTCAGAAGTTATTACAAAAATGCTGGTAGTCGAAAACAGGTTAAAAATTAAAAAACCTCTGTATCCATGGCACTAGAATATTGGAAGAAATTATTCTATTGTTTCCCACATGAAGTTCATCCACAAACAGAAACTTAGTTTCTGTCAAGATCCTCAAAGCATCTTTAGTTCAACAGTAACTACCTGGCTGAGGCATTATACGAAAAAATAAGAAATGTTTCTTTTCCAGAATCATTGGCAAGAACATTTTACAAATTCATTGCATGAAAGTATCAGTTGAAAAAGGAAAGCTGAAATGTAATAAAAAGTGGTCGTCATGAAAAGTAAAATGAGTTACCTCCCTTTGCCTAATGCCCTTCTTTGAAGGTTTGTCCATAATAATATAACTTGGTTAAAAACTAGCGCTAAAAAATTACAATTTTCTAAAATTTATTAAGGCCACATTTGAAAATTTGGTTGGTAGGCAGATCCATACACCAAATAAATTAATTTAAAATGCCTTAGATTCATAATATCATGTTCTGAGAGGACAGTCATATTGTACGAAGTCAAGCCAACATCGATTCCAAGATGGAACAATGCCTCTGCACACATACCATTCCCAGTGTCCTGTCAGTTTATCCTATTACTAAGTAACCATGGCAACCTGGGCTTCAGTTCAACTTGCTACTGAGACAATTACGATTACAACCACTGAAGCTTCAGAGTGCTGACTTATAACAGGTACGGAAAGCTACAATATTATTAACTCGAACTAAATTGCACGATTTAACTGAGACATTCATTTATATATGAATATTCATAAACCAAAATTCACCGCAACAAATTCACTTTTATAGGAGAAAGACAACTGCAAACTTAGTTTTTGCGTAATCAACAATCTTTCCTTCGAAAGAACTGATATAGTATACATATAGCCAATATATATACCTTCAGGGAAATACTGAATACAATCTTTTGATGTCAACCACTGTCACTTAAGACGCGTATCCTGAAGCAGTATCTAGTCATCACTACCAGTTCATCGTTTCCACGACAACAGTTCTTCATTATTTCTGCATGTGGTATCAAATAAAATTTAATGAGAATACAAAATTTAGAAAATACTTTTTGAGCTTCAATTTCACATCCAGTAGTAATACTGAAAAAATATTCTGATAATGTTCTAGCCCTTCGAATGATGAACTGGTTGTATAATGCTGATCATGAAAATGAAACACAACCACTCACCTAAAAAACAAATTGGAAGGCTTGTCTCCATTTCAACTTGATTTTTTGGAAGAAATTTAGAGGTATATTTCTTTCTGTTCAATACTGACATGACAAGGCATTCATGTATGATAAAAAATAAGAGTGAAAAACGAAGTAAAATTATCGAAAATGATTTAGATTGTAAACTCTCCATGAAAATTAGTTGCCAACATTTCCTCAGATCATGTAAGTACTGCTAATCACATGACTACCAAATATGGTACTGCTGATCACATGACTACCAAATATGGTACTGCTGATCACATGACTACCAAATATGGTACTGTTGATCACATGAGTATCAAACATGGCCATATAGCCACATGGCATTTGTCTTCAAAGATCATGTCACCAACATGATCTTCATATCTGTGATTTTCTCTTTTTCCACTTAGCTGTTACGTGGTCACATTCTTGTTCCGTGACTTCCACAAGCTTTACCTCGCCATCAGTACAACCATTGGTGTGAACATCAAAACTGTGCCTGTTTTCTGTCCAACCAGTTCACGAATGCCAGGCAGCTCGTAAATGTCTCTCAGTGCTGACGACTTCCTCTGGTGCAGGTAATTCAACTTATGACTTCTTTCACAAATGGACATTTGGTAAAGCAATCAGACTTCTTCTCCGACTCGGTCATCATTGAGGAATTCCTCCAGTCTGTCGTCCGTTGTGGCTGTTTCACAGGGTATGACAGGCACCTTCATGTTGACTGTTGTGAAAAACGCCATCTTTTCTCTGCAAGAAATCAACATAAAAATTCAAGGTTTCCCTGGCAATATGTTTATAACATGTATCACTGTCATATCACTTTCATTTCTTCGAAAATGTGATACTAACGGCATCAGAATATTCAAACTCATTCCAAAATGTGCTCATCTAAAACTTGACATGCATATGCAACAGTACTGTCAGTACAAGCAGTTTGATGATGGAGGAAACCTAGAGCAAAAGAGTGATTATGCTTTTACGCCGCTTTTAGCAATATTCCTGCAATATTGTGGCAGGGGACACCAGAAATTGGCTTCACACATGTGGGGAATCGAACCCCGGGTTCTCGGTGTAACGAGTGGACGCTTTAACCACTAGACTAACCAACTCCCCTCCAGCAAATAAAGAGTTAGATTCCAACAATTCAGTGAAGCCCACAAGCAGATGCACATAGCTGACACTAGCAGCATTACCAGATCAAACCTAAACCCAGGATCATAAGTTTCTGGCAGTCAAATCTGCACTTCAAACTGCAATGTCTTAGACTCTGCCACCCCTACCGTTCAACAAACGTCCACTGAAATCCTTGCAAGGAAATCAAGTGCTCGTCCCAAACTGGGACAAGAACCAACAACATGTATTCTAATCAACATGTCTTTGCTATAATGTGCAACTTTAGATCTAGGCAGGGGTGGAAGGCGTGCTTACATCTTCATGTACATTCTTGAAGACACATTTCACTTGCTATCTCTCTAATGGCTTCTGGGTCGGTGGGGTAGCCTAGTGGTTAAAGCGCTCGTTCGTCACGCCGAAGACCCGGGTTCGATTCCCCACATGGGTACGATGTCTGAAGCTCATTTCTGGTGTTCCCCGCCGTGATATTGCTGGAATATTGCTAAAAGCGGCGTAAAGCTAAACTCACTCACTCACTCACTCTAATGGCTCTGAACAGGAGCAACCTTGTGTCACATGTAGTAGAATACTGATTTGTTTTTGGACATATGTCCAGGTGTAAAAAAGGGCTTTTACTACCTTAGACCCCCAAAAGAAATGGCCATGTAAATCGCTGATCAGTTTTACCTGAAGTTGATGGCATTACACTGCTGACTTCCTCTACGCATGCGTTGTACATCTCTTGTGACCTTCTTCATGAGCTGTTGGGCACGACGATCTTGCTTAGACACATTCTTTGACGTCTTCTTTTGACTCTGCAAGAGAAGTAAAGGATTAGCTTTAACTGAAGAATATCCATCCTTGAGCCATTCATTACACCTGCATCATCTTAGGAGAGGAGTACAAGAGTTGGCTCCCTTCAATACAGGTCACTTAACATCATTGCAGGAAATCATTAGAATGTCTTAATTACTATCAATTTGGCATATTAATTGTGAGACTGATTAAGATGAATTCACAGTGGTTCAAGAATCGCAGTATACCCACACTACGCCTTTTGGTTTCTGTAAATAAGATATTCAAAATGGCTAGTTTTAGGAAACCATGAATACCATTTCACTTATATCACAGCTACACGAAGGAGAAATATCACTGTGTTCATTCAGTATTGTAAAACGCATAAAACAGGTATTGTGCAGACAATGGACCAAACTAAAGTCATTTTAAACTTAGGAGTCAGCAGATCCAGGGTGTGAAGGATCTGGGACACCCAGGATCACAAAATATCAGCCTCCTTTAAAATCATATAACTTAACAAAACACCTTACAGACAGATTACAATTATACTAGAGAGAAATACAGGGGTGGAAATAACCCATGTCCGAGTCCAGTGTTTTTTTTCTGTCGGGCAAGCACACTTGTATATCACGCTGTACCGGTGTCCGGTTGACATTCCAATGTTAATTATTATTTTGCTTATATAAAAAATCACCAAAACAATCGGCCGGTATAGCGGCAAAATTATCAGGGCAAGTGATTTTACATGTGCCACTGTACCGGAGTACACTAGCAATTTTAAAGTTATTTCCACCCCGGAAATATTACAAATAATACCTAGCTTTTTATATACTGATATATATCTAAATATACAACAGCAACATTAAAATATATTTTCCAGAATTATACATAATTATACTCATATATAATATATTTCACAAATATTTCATATTTCACAACAATTGTTTGTTTAGACTGTGAGGAACAGTACACAGTTTTCATACCATGCATGGACCATGCTATCTGTCATGTCAGTCAGTATATGTATGACACACATTCCCGCAGTGTTTACAAACAAACAGCATACATTACTTGAAAGGTCGTTCACGTCAACATTCTGTGGAGTACAATGATCGGGTCATAATCCGGCATGCCAAACATCTCAACTATTCCCCTCAGGCCCCGATTAGTGTTAATAGGCCATACACTTTGTTCATAGCAATAACTGGGTCACTGCAAGCCAATTCCGCACGTTGATGTACACTTTGATGGGTAATGCATTTCACTGAAGTTTAGTCTACAAGTTGTCCAACTCCAAAACATTTTCATCATAAAACTATTAGATACCTGCTTCAAACAATTAAACTAGTTAAAGATAACACAAATAGCTTTCAAGAAGAATATACATGCTCCAGGGCTATTAGTGTGCTGTACTGACTCCAGAACATGTATTAACCTTGAGGCAGTATGATGGGGCATGTTAAAGATCAAAGTCATGCTTGGTGTGAATCAATCATGCACCGACATCAATCTTGACACTTCAATACTATGCGCTTATGAATGAATGACCTACTTGCTGACATGGTTGTCAATAGCAACATGACCTAAATCTTTGCCATTCAAATTCCACAGATATAAAACTCACATAACAACTGCATATGATGAATACATTAACATTCACACTTGGAGTCAAGGGAGGTAACTCACTTCGACTGACTGGCAACTGATCCCAACTACGAGCCTGGTTGGATGCAATTGTCTAAGCCCAAAATGATTATTGTGAAAATATAAACTTTTAGAACCATGTGGCCTTGTTTACTGTTACATGTAACTGAGTCGAGCGCCAGTTTCCGAGTGACCGGGCTGATCCCTTGCTATAATTGCTGTAAGTGTATGTTAAAGTGTAGGAGTTACGCTTGCCACATCTTTATGGGCCCTGGAATTGCTACAGACTTGTAATGTAAAAGTTAGTAATGTAACAGATGACAAGTTTAATGTGGATGTGTGCCCCTATATAATGGTATGAGTTAATCTGGGGTTCAAGAGCATGATCAGATCCTGTACCAACCAAGGGCCATAACTTCAGTGATATGCTACAATAACTGGAAGACCCATAGAAAAGCAATGATGAGAATCTAACCTGGGACAAATACATTCCATACAAGACAGACTACACTTTAGGCTAACTATTAGTACAACCACCTGACTACCATCCTAGCCCTGAATCTCATATTCACATCCAACCACCTGACTCGAATCCTACCCCCCAGTCTAAGTAAACTTAGGCTCAGTATTATTCACTGGTATATACTGAGTCTAACAAACCCTAGCAGAAGGTCGTGTCAGATAATCTTTCTGCAACCTATGACCATCCAATCAAACGGGAGACGGCCGAATGGAATTAACCAATCAGAAAATGGCTACTAATTTGGGTTAGGTGGGACTTGCTAATTTGCGACGCAAGATGAAATTGACAGTGTGCTCGCTTAGGTGTTTCTGATGACATGGTTACTATTAGATTATATTTCCGCAAGGTGACGTCCTTTAATAGAAGACAAAACACAATTTTCAGCAAGAGTTTACTCACTGCTGTGAACAATAGCGCCCACCATGTGTATCACTCGGAAGCGATCGTGTGGAAAATATAGTATTTGGAATTGTTTGATTACAAACGTTTTCGAGGTAAAAATTCAAACGGTGTGTGCGAATGTTAACTTTCACAATTTGGTAAGCTGTGTTTTGATTGGTCAATTCAAAAGGTTAGCTGACGCGACCTTCTTCTAGGGTTTGTTAGATTCAGTATAGCAGTGTAGTATAGATTATGAGAAAACATGATCAATTGCTTGGTCGTTTAGTCACTGCGACCAATCTTCCGATTATTTCAATTAATCAGACCACCACTACAACACAGCACTACTCTTTTCAACATGACCTATACTTTGTTATAATACTGTCAATAACCTATCAATCCTCTACATATTTCATGTTGGCTAATAAAACATGTATCGTTTACATAATCTGACATAAAATATTCATGCCTGCAAACAGAAACCAAATGCTATCTCCAGAACTATCAGTCTTACTGCCTGATGAGAGGCAAAACAATAGCATCCTCGAACACACATGCAGTAAAAGTAGTACTTCTGTCTGATACAAAGCAAGGCTAATTTGTATAAGACAAATATTCAGCTAATATTCAGCATACTGTACAGTGTCTATAAAGATGCAAGAGTCATGATACATCACATTATACACACTCACAACCAACACATAACCAAGATAATCTAAGAAACGGTTTACCCTATTTTTATGCAAGATGATTCTGAAATTCATATGCAAATTCTCATTTTCATGCCAACAATATGTTCAAGACACGAAGTTAATGTGTTATTAAAGATGAATGAAGGGGCTTCTAACTGAAAATACATCAACGTTTTCATTAGTAAGTTAGGTTTTTAATGCTGCAGTCAGCAATATTCCAGCTTTGACAGCAGCATGTGGACCAGACAATCAAGTGATTGACATTGTGAGCATCAACACACACCACTGGGGAGGTGAAGTGAGGTGAGGTGAGGTGAATTTGGATTTAACGTCGTGCTTGAGAATATTTCGCTCCTATGACGACGTGCATGTGTGTGTATGTGTATATGCGGCTGCTTGTACTAGACTTAAGCTGGTTTTATAGTGCTAGCCCACTGAGATACCATGCCACAGTGAAGCATGAACACCCCACTCAAACACATTATACTGATTCCGAGCCGACCAGTCCTTGTTGTACCCATTAATGCCGAGCGCCAGGCAGGGACCAACAAGTACCATATTATAACGTCTTTGGTATGACGCGGTCGGTGATCGAACCCGCGACCTTCCGCTCTCCGGGCGGACGCTCTAACCACTACACCACGGAGGCGGTCACACGCCAATGAAGTACAATGACACGGAATCTACCAAGTCACAGAGTCTGACCAATCTGGTTCCCTATTATGACCAGCATCAGATGCTAGGGACCAATTAAAACCCAGAATCTTCACTGGGTTTTCTTTACTGGTTCCTGTACAACTAAATACAAGATGACATGACACTCCCACCAGTGTCCTTCAAGTTTGATCTCAGATTATTCGAATGAAGACAAACTGTCACATCTGACCCAGAAAGTTGGGAATAATAACAAGCTCAGAACAGATGTTGAGGGAGTCGGAGAATTATTTTCACAAAACATGTAACAGTGAGAACTGAATCAGATAGAGAACACGATCAGCAGACTCCGGCACAGGGCAAGAATCAGAAGCAGAGGAGATTGTAGCTGTAAAGACTGAGGGATATCCTGGCACATCAAGGTCTGGTGAGATTCTGGTGAATAGCTGGCAGTAGGGTTCCTGCTTGTAAGATTCAAGGTCAGTGAGTGAGTATGGTTTTATGTCGCTTTTAGCAATATTCCAGCAATATCATGGCGGGCACATCAGAAATGTGCTTCACACTTTGTGCCCATGTGTGGAATCAAACCTGCCCTTCAGCGTAATGAGCGAACGCTTTAACCACTAGGCCACCCCACAGCCTCTAATCAAGGTCAGAACAGAATCGAAATCAGGTGTGAGTGGTAAGGAAGTTGGTTAATAGACTTTATCATGACAGTGAAAGCTGCTGCTTGCCAGGCAGCAATATTCCAGCTATGTCATTAATGATGAGAGAGAGTTCTACATAAACAGCCCCAAGATGACCTCAAGGAGGATGTTCTTCTGAACATGGGGTGCATTTATGACAAAGTTGAGCATTGTTAGAAGATATGGGCTTGACTGTCTATAGATACAAAGGAGATCATAAACAGGCAAAACGGAGCATTGAAAATGGCAACATATGCATACCTACATTATACACTACATGTATACCAAAAACTGCAACAGACTTTCCTAACCTGCTTAATGGAGCACCATACAAAGAAGACAATATTTAACTTGCCAAACTGGAAACAACTACAAGTGATACAAACCAACAACACACCTTGTGCATTGTGGGGTTTCTGTAAATTAAAATTACCGTTTTAATTAAATTAGCAAACATTGACAAGATTATGAAGAAATAACTTTTTGGGTACAAAGACAACTTCTTTAACAATTTTGATATTTTGTGTCAATGTCAAATGGGTAAATGAAAATATGTTGCTATTTTCTACTCTTAGGAAAAAGTTGTTGCATTTTCGGCAAGACGGTGTTCTCGATCAGTATTCCCATTTTCAAGTTTTTAGGGTTCAGCTGATCCAATACATACTACACAAGCTAGTCTTCTTGTCACTATATGTTTCAGTTAAACAAACATGCTATATGAGAGGGCAGGGGTTAAACTGGGGTTAGACTATGCATTAGAATCATGCTATCATGCTGATTGGTCAACTGACAGCAGGATTAAACCAATCAAAATCTTACATGATGTCGTAGAATTCCCAGTTTCTGTAATGAACATAGCATAATGAGGAAGGAGACTATGGAAGTTTATTCAGGAGGTAACAGAAGAAGACATTGAGACGTCAAAAAACTTGTCTTGGGGAAGATAGTTCACTAAACTGCTTCGCACACTCTGCTGAAGTAATGACTCAGCATTACACAGCAGCCAATCATGTGACTGGACTTGTTTGTCTGCACAGACATATTCTCAAAGCAGACTGGCCAAAAAGTAAGCATTTTGATGCACTTTCATATCCTTTTGTAAAAATTACAAATCTATGATCCTACAACTTTGATATTGAGGAGTATGACTGACTGACTGACTGACTGACTGACTGAGTTTGGTTTTACGCCGCTTTTAGCAATATTCCAGCAACATCACGGCGGGGGACACCAGAAATGGGCTTCACACATTGTGCCCAAGTGGGGATTCGAACCCGGGTCTTCGGCGTGACGAGCCAACGCTTTAACCATTAGGCTACCCCACCGCCCTGAGGAGTATGACAATAAGTCGTCATACATAAGAGAGACAATGTTGTTAGATGTGTCCAGTCTCCAAATGATGACAAAAAATGCAAATTGTTAAGATGTGACAAATGATCACATCCTGCCTTCCAGATGAAATAAACTCTGAGTGTGGACACGACTCAACTGCTCAAAGTCAATTTAACTAACAATTAGGACAGTCACTAATATCGCTTTGTGCATGTGGGCCCACAACTTGAAACAGTTATGGAATGAGAGTGATCAGTAATTCAGTGAAGGCATGTAAGCATGATGAACAATGAATCCCAAAGTAATGGAGGTCTGAGACATTTACCACTTCCATGAAACCAATGAGCTGGTGCGATTCCAACGTGATAAGGGTGATTCTGTGATTCACCTCTGGTTTCGGATACCACAGAATCACCTTTGCAGAGCATTACTTAGATGCCTTGCATGACTGGACCAACCGTGGCCCCAATGAACATTGGAGCTTCATCTCCAGTTTTACCCTTAATCTGCAGTTTTACCCTTAATCTTCATGGGACAAGTCAACGGAGTACTGATGATCTACTGTCATCTATGATCTCCAGGAGGACCACCAAACCAAAAACATACTATTGACAAGCCTTGCTCTGGCAAGTCTTTCGATACTCTAAGGTATGTCAAATTGTAAAGGTGACTCTCAACTGCCTAAATTGTTGTCATACTTCTCCTCAGTCACTTGTTTGAACTCACCAACTTCTCGGCATCAGACAGCAGCTTCTGCAGCTGGTCATCGTCAGACAACCAATTGGGCAGCTCTGTTGCTCCTGGAGGACAAAGTGTATTCAGGTTAAAGGCACACTGCAGGTAAATCATGATTTTAGGGCATAACATAGTGTCTCAGCAAATCAATAAATCTTCCAATTCTTGCTGGTATCCCTGTTTAATCAGCCTTTAAATAATCAACTCTGGGAAGGGTAAACTAGTGGTTGATAGCATGAGGTACAGTGAGTGAGTGAGTTTGATTTTACGCCGCTTTTAGCAATATTCCAGCAATATCACGGCGGTGGACACCAGAAATGGGCTTAACATATTTTGCCCATGTGGGGAATCGAACCCGGGTCTTCGGCGTGAAGAGCGAACGCATGAGGTACATATTCCATCAAATACCTTTTGACTTGGCCTCCTCCATAAGTCGCTTCAGTTCTTTTAAGCGTGTGATTTCATCGTTGAGGTGTGACAGCTTGACGTGGGAAGCCTGCAGGTCCAGCTCCAGGTCCAAGGATGTCCTTGGGTTCAGGTGGGCGGAGGATGAGGACGACTGAAACAATGTGAGGAGGTGCAGAATAAAAAATGCCAACCTTTTGTTTTATCAGGAAAACAATAAAGTATCCATAATATTGGATGAATACGATCAACAGTATATTCCAGCCCAAGAACATATAGAAATTACCTCGGCAAAATAGTTATATGGACGATTCAACAACAGCGATGACTTACAAGTACAATTATACAACTCATTTGATGGGAATGGAATCAAAATGCTATGACTATGAAAGGAGTGAGTGAGTGAGTTTAGTTTTACACCGCACGCAGCAATATTCCAGCTGTATGGCAGTGGTTACCATGAATGGAAGTATTCAAATCAATGATAAATAAATAGAATCATAACAAAGTGGTATCACAATAATACACAACAAGAAGACAAAGTCATCAATATCCCCCGCAATGGCAAAATACTCTTCAAGATTACGTCTACGAGTTATGATTATGTAAAATATTTAGTTGTGTATATAGAAAAGTGGAAGGAGAGTATTGAAAGGTTTTTAAAGTTCTGCTCCAGAAAGCAGCACTATCACCAATTTCAGGCTAAGTCAAACTTGTTGCCATGGAAATGCCAAAAATATTTAATTCAGAATTCCAAAACTACCAAAAGGCACCAGTACACCATAAGATCTATCTATGTGCCAAGTTTGGTGAAGACATATAGAACGGTTTTAGAGTTCTGCTCCGGAAAAGAGCACTACCACTAATTTCAGTCAAAGTCAAACTTGTTGCCATGTAATCGCGAAAAATATTTAATTCAGAATTCCAAAACTACCAAAAGGCACCAGTACACCACCAGATCCATGTATGTGCCAAGTGTGGTGAAGAAATATTGAACGGTTTTAGAGTGCTGCTCCGGAAAAGACAAATGTGCACGGATGGACGCACAGACGGAGTCCATTTTAATACCCCCCGGGGATAATAATAAGTACATTAACAAAGACTATACATGGATCATCATAGCATTGATCTTTTAGATGGGGAACAAACCCGTGAAGGTCCGGGTTAGAATGCGCCTTCAGTAACCCATGCTTCTTGTAAGGGGCGACTAACGGGTGGTCAGGCTCGCTGGCTTGGTTGACACGTCATCAGTTCCCAATTGTGCAGATCAATGCTCATGATGTTGATCACTGGATTGTCTGATCCAGACTCTATTATTATATACAGCCCACTACCATATAGCCGGAATATTGCTGAGTGTGGCGTAAAACTAAACTCACTCACTTACTTAGATGGGGAACAAGGTTTTCAGTGTGACAAGCCTATGCCATAACCGCTAGGATACTCCCTTCAACAGTTCTATAATTAATTTCCACTGGTAATACTTTATAATGGATATATAGGCAAAATTTTGGACACAGAAAGGTTGAATTGTGTCAAAATGTTGTCTATCATACCTTGCCTTTCCATCGAAGACTTCTCCTCTCCAATGCATTTCTCTGGAATGGCCCTCGTTTGTACAGCGGCATAGAACTATCACTGTCACTACGATTGAGCTGAAAAACAAGAAATTCATTTTCACATTAACAAATCTTTGCATGAAAAGAAAAATCACCCCATTTCATTGAACAGAAATTAATTAAATACATTCTCATTAAGAAGTTTCCACCCATAATTAATCCATTCATCAAAAACTCCTTTACAAACAGCACAACAAGGGGAGACAACTCTTGTCCTAAGTTTTACACAGTTACACACCTTGCACACATAGCCTGGCGCTTGTTGTCTGCATGCCGGTGAGAATGTCTGTGACCGACGGATGGTGCTGTTTCGAATGTGATGATTGTGTTGCCTCCGTTTGATTTCTTTCACCAAATAATCTCCTTCGGTATTCGTCTCAGCATCACAGGTTTTGACATGTAGAGATTCGTCCGATTCAGAGAAGTGGTCGTCCAGGTTTTCAATGTTTTCAAGCTCAGCAAGAACCTCCTGCATCATTTCATTGTAGTCCTGAAGTAGAGAGCACAAACAGACTAATGCCAATACCATTTTATATAGGTTGTCGTAATTGGCCTAAAACTCAACAAAGAGTTAAAATTCAGCTTTTCTAGATCAGCAGTTACAAATCAATGAAAACCAAACACAATCTAACATGGCCACAGTAAGATACCAAAAGATACTTATTTTTTCTTTGAGTTCGCATAAAAAAAATTATACGCAATATTCATCCCGCTCACGAACAGTAGTTACAAAAAAATGTTGTGGCTATTAATTGAAAAAGAAATTAGGGGCCACTTTTGGGCAAAAAACAAAATATTTTCCTGCAGCTTCCTCAGAAACAAACACATTCATACTTCATGGAACTCAGAAAGAAGTTCACTGTACTAAAAGCCTGTAAACAGACTTAATTCTCCCTTGTATACATTTAATACTAATGAAGCTGTGATAAAAGTCTAATATCATGAGGCTAGACTGTTACCTTCTCATCTTCTTCCTCCAAATCTTCTTCATCTTCATCGTCCTCATCGTCGTTTTCCCCAAATCCAGCCAGACGTGGGCTTGTCTCCCTATCTTGGTGGCTGGCCATATCCTCAGGACCTGTGGAGAGAGGTAATTGCCATATATTTATCAGCCCATGCCTCCTGATCACAGGTAAAACTAGTCTTGTAGGACTCCGAGAGTGAGTCACTTTCAAAAATATTCCAGCAATATCCCCAGGAACTGGCTCCACACATTGTACCACGTTTGGAATCAAACCCAGGCATTCAGCCTGACAAGCACTTTGTGGCCAAGGGACACAACTCTGCACTATGAACGATAGTGAATCAGACAGAGCCATGCATGCCCAGTTCAGGCACAGAACACTATGTAGATGATCTTGGGCATGGAAAGTCTTGCGTTATTCTGGGACTGAAAACAGAGATGTGCCGAGTGTGTGCTTACCTTGGTTCCTTGTAAGGGTGGAGGTCTGTGAGGAGATGATGGTCGACTCATCGCTGCTCTCTTCCTTCACTGAAGACACGGCAGGATGGGGAGACTTGTATTGACTGAAACAGGCCACACTTATATATAATACACATCAGATTACACAGTCATGTATTGCATACACCTTCCTATATTACACCGTCCTACACTGCACACACTGTCCTACATGACACACACTGTCCTACATGACACACAGTCCTACATTACACACACTGTCCTACACTGCACACACTGTCCTACATTACACAGTCCTACGTTGCAGTCCTACACTGCACACACTGTCCTACATTACACACTGCCCTACATCATACACTGTCCTACATCACACACTGTTCTACACTGCACACAGTCCTACATTACACACACTGTCCTACATTGCACATGCCATTCAATCTTGCATTGAACACATCATGACATAGACTATTAAATATTGCATAGATCATCCAATATTGCATACTGCATCATATATTCTATATATACCATCACATATAGCACACCTACCTGGCCTCCTTCACGACAACATCCAGGACTGGCTTCTCATCACTTGGCAGAGACGACTTACGCAGTTTGGCTGAAGAAGCTTCGAGGAGCTGTGTTACTCTGTCTGATGATTCTCTCTGAAATAGAACACATGTCCGAAATGAAAAATAATGTTCCTGTCTTGGGTAAGGTCTGGCTGAACATACACAGAATGTATCAAGCCAAAAATACCCCATTCTGGAAAAACAGAACATCCAGATGCATGTAAAACAAGAAGGAATATTTGCTTATCTGTGATTATCCACAAAGAGGTACCATGAAAAGTCCACATATCTTTGGTGATCATTTTTGGAATTCAAACCCATGACAATATCTAGCACAAGTCAGCACTTAACCCACGGTGAGTGAGGTAAACATGCAAACAACCTGGCAGTAATGGATGTCATAATCCCCACAAGTAAAGTGTTACCTGTGTGAGAGTTTGGCTGGAGGAGTGGCGTGTGTCGTCTGAGCTGAGCGTACTGCTGGATGATGGCTGACTGGCTTCACTTGATTTCTTTGTTCCTGTCCTTAAGTCGGACTGCATGAACTTAAAACTTAAAATGTTGTACCATCGAGTAGACACTTCCTTCGGGTCGAAATCAGCCAGACTCACTTGAGCACAGCCCTGTCAACAGAACAAGTTGCATTTTCAAAGAATTTCTGAGACATGAATTATAAATTATGCCGAATGAAAACTAAACATCACAAAACCAAACAATAACAGGTATCAAAGGGCAAAACATTTTGCATGAAATAGTATAAGACAAAAAACTCAATGAAAATATGAAGAACTCAAACAATGATCCTATCTCTATGTTTATCAATGCTACAGATTTTACATCTGCGTGCAAATGTATTTTCATAAATTTCAAAAAGGAAAAGTTTCCATCAATGGAATCTGACACAGCTCATTTCTGTGGCACTCACCAGACACTCCTCCTCCCTCGTGGGGTGTACACTCCACACGTTAACCTGTAGCGTCTTGGAAGACAACTTCTGCTCTGCCAGGATCACACGAAATGTCTCAGCAAATTTGGTGTTCTTCAGATCTGGTAGCGTCTTCGTCTTCCACGACGTCTCCATGTTGTGTGGCAACAGTGCAGCTTTAATACATCTGAAAACCAAGAATATTATCATCAAACTGGGAGGGACAAAGAGGATAGCAGCTCTAAAAAAGGGGGTCAGTTTATTTCTGTCTAAGTACAAAATATTGTAGCTTGTTAGTGAGTAAATGCAGTTCAAAACCACAGTCAGAAATATTCCTGCTATAAAAATCAGCCATGGGTCAGGGAAACCAGTGCTTAAAAAACAACTAGCAGATTACAACAAAGGGAGGCAACTCTGCACACCAACAATTTTGGAGGTGCAACTGGGAATGATATGAGCATTGTGGTAGGTGATGAACATAACTTTCATACTGTACATCAGGGTTTTCTCATTCCTTCCAGAGACTCGCAAATCAGTATCTCCCTCATTCAGCAGCAACCAAGGAGGGGGATACCACTCACATCTTGTGTGGCAAAATCAAAACAAAATAGTTTGCAGAGTCTAGTTAAAGTATGACTGCCAGCTCATTATCACCTGAAGTCATTTCACAGTTGAGCCACTGCGATGCAATTTGTCATGTTTCTGAGCTGCGTCCATGTGGGTGGCCATGAAATGTGTGCATTACATGCCGGATTCATCTACACTCGTTAAATTCACATAAATTCCTGGAATTCCATCCAGTTCAATTTGGGCACTTTTCATGCAAATAACACATTTCCCTTGATGTAAACAGAGGAATATATATCATACGGGCCTTCTCATCGGGTGGACATATCAGACAATCTCAGACAATCTCTGTCAAGCTCTGCAGCACACAGTCTCTGATGAAGACAATCCCTCAAGTCGTGAGTCTCTCAAGGTTGTTTATTTCAACATCATTCCAAATCAATGTAGACGTTTACAAGATACACAAACTCAGAAAAAGAACTTACAAGTCAGAAACTTAATAGTAGTTTGCTCACTTTTTGATACCCCCCATAAAATATTCCAGATGGCAGATTTATTAGATAAAAGATTGCTATGCAGTCAGATAATGGTGTACGACAGGGGCAGATAGATGAATGCATATGAATCCATAACGTATGGGTGCCAATAACTTATCAGAATTGTAAGGATTCATGACAGGAACAATATCGTTTGGGGCAACGATTTTGTTGTCCTGGAACTTACGCCTTATTGGTTTGATGATGACAAAAACCAAAACACTGAAGCAAGTTCATGTGTTGAGTTATCTATAGGCTTGCTGAATCAAACATTTAATAAGTGCAAAACTATAAAAAACAGATCAATTTCAATGACTGATTAGTTGGACTGGTCCAGTCACCAAGGATGCTTCAGCCAGTTTCCAGCATCAGACATAATACTTACACATGGCCTCCTTCTGGGAAAGCAAGTGCCATCAGATTGCGGGCTTGTTCGATCCCTATCAACAACATCTTCTCCACGCCTTCGTACCTGGAACCAGACACAACACAGATTAAAATTAAGTCCAATGACAACAGTACCAGGAAATATAGATTGTACATTGCACCAGACAAAATCGAGAAAAACAGATGCTGACATCAGATTATGCAGAATATGACACATAAAAATCTGATAGATTATTGAAAAATCAGCAGCATCACAACTGACTGATCCCACCCTCACATTTGAAAGATATCAATCACTATAGTGAATGAGTGAGTGAGTGAGTGAGTGAGTTTTATGCCGCACTCAGCAATATTCCAGCTATATGGCAGTGGTCTGTAAATAATAGAGTCTGGACCAGACAATCCAGTAATCAACAGCATGATCATCGATCTGCGCAATTGGGAACCGATAACATGTGTCAACCAAGCCAGCAAGCCTGACCACCCGATCCCATTAGTCGCCTCTTACGACAAGCATGGGTTACTGAAGGCTCATTCTAACCCAGACCTTCACCGGTCAATCACAATAGAATGATATCAATCACAATAAACAGATATCATATCACAATTTACAGATATCACCATCACAATCAACAGATATCACCATCACAACAGACAGATCACTCAGATATCACTATCACAATCAACAGATATCACCATCAGAGGTGGACATTGCCCACAATCTCTAGTTGTTGGACTCCTGCCATAGAGTACAGGAACACCATCACTGGCTACCTCACCACCCCAGGATTAATTCAATGGGGACAAACAGACATGCATCAGTGAAGTCAGCAAGCCTGACACACACACACCCCACCCCCATCCAAACCCAATCACACAAGCCCATTATGTGCTTCTTACAACAAGCATGGGTCCTTAATTCTGGCTAAATATGTGAAACTGTATGACATGAAGAAATAAACCTTTCTAAGTAAATACAAATAAAAGTCTTCAAAACTAATAGATCTTCTTCTAATATCAACTGCTAAACACTTCTTCATTCCATGTCAAACAAGAGACCAAGATTGATTAATAATCTTTTTGTTCAGAGTGAAAAACGACACAATTTCAAACTTCCAGTTAAAGAATCCTTGTAAGCAGACGCCATCTGTGTTGAAGTATATGGCAGATCACCATGACATAGGTCAGTGGAAACTCATCTCCATCCCAATAATAACCCATGACATGAATTCCTCCCATTTCATCTCCTACCACAGGAACTAAGAAAGACGCAACCTTCTGATGAACATATGTGTGTGTCATTCCGAACCCTTGGAGTAGATCTTATATTGAATTACTTTGCTCTGCAAACTCTGGAATCTTTCCAATTCATTTTTCCAGCAATGTATAGCAATCAACATCCTCCCAACAAAACTAGCAAAGAAAAATAACAGTCAAAACAAATTCAACAAAACGTTTTTAAAGTATTATCAAACATCTTTCAAACCCTGAACATCTCAAAAAGGGAAAGTGCATCCTCTTCAGTCTCTGACAATTCTATTCGTCAAAAACAGACACTTAGTTCCAGAAATATAGGTATCTTGTTTGAAAATATAAATAAACTCCAAAACGAGCACGGAAAAGTTCTTCACTTAAGAGGTGAGGCAATCTAGACTTGAGCAATCATTCTAGACTTGAGATAGACTCCATGAATACTTAAGTCTCTAGGGCCTGGAGACGGGCTAGGTCATGAGGTGCTCCCTTGATTGCCAGCAAGACTCAAAGACAACTGAAGATGCTGGTTTCATGTGCACTCAAAGAGGAAATAGCCAGAAGAGTGTGCATCACTAAACACACAGCTTTGGACTGATGCCAAGATCTGCACAGAGGAGAGATGACAGTTTATCGAACAAAAATGGCAGAATGCTCTAGCCCATCGGGGAGTCTGCTCCCCAGTCTGTAGTGGAGAAACAGGTACACCTCAGGGCTGCTTACCTAGTCCGAAGGAAATATGATCATAGCTCAAGGTGAAGGTGTTCCATCAGAACTGTCAAGTAGATAGTCAAACTGAGCTTAATACAGCTCTGACTTAACTCTACTTCTACAAGCTGACCTAGATTGTCATGAAGAAATTAATGAGGGGGGAGAGAGGGGTGTCCTCGTATTGTACAGTACTGGAAACTAAACCTGGATCTCTGGCAAAACACTGACCTCAGACGAGGTCTGCACGGGCATGGTGTTGACAAACCTAGAAACGATTGTGTGTGGAGTTGAGTGAGTGGTTGAGTGAATTGGTAAGTGAGTGGATGGATGAAGGAATGGCGAGTAAGTGAAGGAGTTGGTGAATGGATTAGCAAATGAGTGAATGGGTGGATGGATGGGCGAGTTGGCCGGTTTGTTGCTTGTTTTCAGTGGTTGATTGAATGGGCTGCAAGTAACAAACAAACCAAAACTGGACACGACCAGAAGAGATTGGCATAGATCGGAGATGATCCGTGCTGCTTGTTCAATACACATATATACTATTGGGATGCAATACCAACCAGTCACTTCCCACACAGTGACCAGCTTATTCTCCCTTACAACAAGCATAGGATAATATTAGTCAGTCTCTAAATGGCATTATTTTCCCTTCTGCCTTGATCTTTCTGCAGAGCTAAAGCCCCAATTGAAGCACGACTAAATTCATTCAGGTTCTCCCAACAACTGGGGATCCCTTTGGATTTAAAAGGAATTATTTGTTCTCACCAAAATTATACATATTGAAGAGACATAGCGTTAGTCTAGGTACAGACTTCACACCTCCTGACCCTGAATCCTGGCAAGTATTAACTCTAGTAAATGTAACCAAACACACTAAACCTACACCTACAGCAAGAAACTCATGTTTAACTGAGAAAAGTCTACCCCAGACTGAGACCATCATCACGGAATGACAAATAAATTTAAGTTAAATAAACAAAAGAAATATCATATTTCAAACCCATGAAAAACAAATGGCAATGAAAAGTGAAGCACATGCTATAAAGAAAGCAACAGGACTATTTCTGTCTGCACAGTGCAGACACCATGAATGTATGACAGTGTATGCCTGGCACGGCACCAAGGCATGCACACCGGCTTGTGGCCAACGCTACACGCGCCGCCAATGAGAACAGCATACAGGGACTGGGTTACTATGTTCCTCTCAGAAAACAATCCACACTCATTCCGTAACCGCAATGTCCGATTTTTTAAACTTTGGGGATGCTGGCTGCAAGTTTGCCAAAGATTGAGGCACAGAGGTATCTTCTTCTGTATGACTCATGCTGTCTGAGACTGTATTCCCTGGTGCTGGAAGTCCATCAGTGTCTGGAGCCACCGCCAGCTTACCATATTCTTGATAATCAACACCCTGTCATCTGTAGTGAGGTTTATAGACAATATTCTTTAGGATGAACACCCTGTCATATAGAGTGGGGTTTATATACCATATTCCTTATAATCAACAACCTGTCATATAGAGTGAGGTTTATAAACCATATTCCTTACAATCAGCACAATATCATCACACAGTGAGATATATACCATATTCCTAATCATTAACATCATGTCACATGTGGGGTTCATCATTATATCGTCAAATCCTCCGATAACATCCATATTCTGCTACTTACAGCCTAACATAGCTTACGTATAATATTCTTTATTTATAACATAGTTATATACCATACTTCTTGCAATTAATAATCATATAAGTGTAGCATTCAACAACAAATAAACAAGCATTGTCACTAAGGTGACATAATCCCCTGCCGCAAATTATCAAATCAAACTTATAAAGTAATGAAAGTTTAAGATGAAGTTATCTGTCAACAAAAACAGGACCAGTCAACCTCTCTTGATATCTTGCTCTTTAGTTGTTCAAACAGTGACAAACACACACATATTTTCAAGACTGACTTTGACCTTGACATGAATGAAATATGCAAAAATAGTACTAAAGAAATTGCTTATTGTAAAACATTCAAGGGAAGTCTTTAAAGTCTATGAAGGAAATCCAGTGAACCGTTCTTGAAATATCTTGCTGACACTTCAGGTTAACATGCTGAAATCTTCAAAGTGTCTCTATGACTTTGAAAATTAAGTGAAGGTCACCAAAATCGACTGGGCCCTTTGCCTTCCCTGGATGATGCTTGGTATCAAATATAAAGAAAATCCAGTGAATGTTCTTGAGGTATCTCGCTCACAGGCATAACATGCAGGTTAATATGCTGAAATCTTCAAAGTGTCTCTGTGACCTTGAAAATTAAGTGAAGGTCACTAAAATTGACTGGGCCCTTTGCCTTCCCTGGATGAAGCTTGGTGTCAAAAATGAAGAAAATCCAGGGAACGGTTCTTGAGATAGCTTAACATGCAGGTTAACATGCTGAAATCTTCAAAGTGTAGCCACGACCTTGAAAATTACGTGAAGGCCACCAAAATCGACTGGGCCCTTTGCCTTCCCTGGATGAAGCTTGGTGTCAAATATGAAGAAAAAGCCAGGGAACGGTTCTTGAGATAGCTTAACATGCAGGTTAACATGCTGAAATCTTCAAAGTGTCGCCATGACCTTGAAAATTACGTGAAGGTCACCAAAATCGACTGGGCCCTTTGCCTTCCCTGGATGAAGCATGGTGTCAAATACAAGTGTAGAAGTGAGCAAAGCTCACATACCCCCGCTTCCCACTTTGGGACATGGAAATGACTGATATTGATATATATAATGTGACAAGGATCAGCAGCTCACAAGACTTTCTCTTTGACTCTACTAAACTTTATATACATGTTAGATAATAGTTTTGGCATGTACTGATTACGGTAATAATTTATGGAAACTAGTTGTTTTTTTATTTCCGTGGAAACCTGCCATACAATTGAACTTGACTGTCTCATGTTGCACACAATGGACGTAGATGAAGATTGCTATTTTTTAGCACATGGCATATCTGTGGGTCATGACTAACTTGTGTATTAAGTTTGGTGAACCTAGCATGTATAGTTTCGATGATATGCCGTGGTCAGGTAACCATCAAATACATTTTGCACGTACCTAGCATGAACCTAGCATGTAAACTTTAGGAGATA